CGATTCCCCCAGCTCGGTTGGTGGTGCGTGACAGCCCTCCCTGCCGACGGAGCCACAAGCACGTACCACTCACGTCGACGGTGTCTGTGGCTCAGAGATAAGATGAAGTCACGTTATTTCTCCATCGGTTTAAAAACACATCACTCGTCTCTGCGGCCCCATCCTCAGCACAACATCAGCCTCCCGCATGCAAGGTCAACGCTAAAGCATCACTGCAAAACAGGGTCTCAGTCCAACCCTGGCAAAGATTAGGCCTGCAGGGTTGGGCCAGTTAGGGGCCAGGATATATTAGAGTGTTCTCAGTGTAGCTTTTGCTCTTTCCTCCCTTCCCTGAGGAAGGCGGGGACTCCAGAGCTGCTGGAGGAGCAGGGCCAGCAGCAATGCAGCCCCCAGGACGCGTGCGGAGCTTGGCAGTGGAGCTGGAGGCCGGGCGAGCATGGGGCGCCTACGGCAGCGGGGAGCTGCTGCACGGCCGGGTGCAGCTGGAGCTGCGTGGGGCGCTGCGACTGCGAGCACTGGAGGTCTACGCTCGCGGCCGTGCCACCGCGCACTGGCTGGAGAGTCGCAGCGTGGGGCTCAACACCATCTACCGGGACTACACGGCCTTCCAGACCTTCCTGTACCGCCGGTGCCAGCTCATCCCAGGTAAGGCTGGGGCATGGGGTGGTTCTCTGCATCAGGATGTTGGGTTGGGACCCCCTTGGGCTGCAGGCATCCCCCTGGAGGACCTCTGCTCTGGTGGGTGCTTACAACCCAAGCAGGGCTGTCCTTCTTAGACACCTTCTACCTTTACCGAGGGTTTCTGTGCTGCTGGTTTCTAGGAGGCTCCCTGTAAATTTGGGGCTGGTGAGCACAAGAGAGTTGTGGCTTTTGTTCTGTTTGCACAGGGAAGTGCAAATAGAAGTGTCTGTTCACAAGTGTGGAAAGAGCACTTAACAGTTCGGCAAATATTTGGTTTTCGTTTCCTGATGCTGGGACCACATGCCCAGCTGGCACGTTGCTTAGATCCACTGCAAGAGGACATGGCACTTGAATTCTTTGTGTGGTTGGGATGAAATGATCCAGAGTTGAGGGGTATGGGACATCTCAGCTGTCCACCCGTTCATTAACTTTGTCTTTTCTCATGAAAGAGCACATCTTTTATCCTCCCAGAAGTGACAGTGCTACAGTCACAGTTACAGCTCTGCTGCTTTTCCTCCCCCTTTCCCTGCTTCTGATGGCTGTAGGACACAGTGCTACGTGCTGCAAGCCCTGGAGATGATATTAAACGCTGAGGGCATTTAATTGTGTGTGAGTGCAACCCAGAAAGCGGTGCCAGCACGAGCTGGCAAATGTAGAGGTTGCAGGAGGAAATGAGAGAGATGAAGCGAGGATATGAGCTGCCTTCCTGGGGGTGTTCTTGTCTCTGGTCATATTCTCCATTTCTGGGTGACCGTACCTTGCCATCTGCTCCAAATCCCTGTGTTACTCTGGAGTTTCTGTCTTTTGGCAGTGGCTCTTCTGTGCTGTGCCCCTTTGCAACTGTGCTAAGTGTCCTGATTACAATTAAGGATGTGGGAGAAGCCCTTGCCCTGAACTCCAGCAGAGAAGGTCCTGAGGTCACTGCGGTGTTTGGATGGCAGCCATGTTAACTGTAAGGTTACGGGGTGAGTTTTATTCCCCGTTATCCCCCAGTAAATGTCTGTAGGGATGCCACAAGCCGCTGCAAGCGTGTTTGGATTTTGTCACTGGGATCTGTGCAGGATAAAAGGCCCTGGAGCCATCTGGAGCAGGGAGGAACCGCATGAGCTGCTCTCACCCTCCTGTACCTTGTTGCTGATGGTGTCTGGTCCTCGCCTCCCGCATGGGGAGCATGAAACTGAGCTCACTGGGGAGCAGGGAGCCTCGCCAGAGCTCGTGGGCTGGGATTTTATTGCCTCTGTCTATGCACAGATTAATTTTCTGCTTCGGGAGAGGGACCCGGGCGTGTGATTGCAGGAGTGTTTGAAGGCTGGGGGCTGCGGGGGAGTGCTGTTCTGCAGCCAAAATCGCTTCCTTCAGATCCCGCTGGGTCTTGCTCTGCCCCGCTGTCCCCAGCAGCAGCGCGAGGGCCTTCCTGATGTCAGCTACTGAAAATGTGCTGTCACCCCAAGGTCCCTGTGACTGCTCCCTTCTTGTTGCTCCTCGGTGAGATCAGCTGTGGCTGCGTGGTGTTCAAAATAACGCAGGGTTTTGTCATGGTAACTCGGCAGTGCAGAGGAGGGAAGCTCGGCAGAGATAAGAGCCCTCCCTTCTGCTCTCCTCTCAGAGTTTATCTGCAGTTCCCTGGTGGAGTGGTGAGTGCTGGTACTGGGGTGCTGCGCTCTGAGACAAGAAAAAGGGTAAAAAAAGGATGTTCAGACGGTGTGCCGGGGCCATTAATTGTATATTGTGTGATCGTCTTCGATAGGGAGCCAGAAGCAAGGAAAAAATATTTAATGGGTAAAGGCAAGGAAAGCCCTGGACTCTTCTGCATGAGATGATGTGAGGGGAAACATAAATGGGTTTTGTGCTTTCCAGGGACTTTTGTGTTGCTCCAGGGACAGTGGGGAGAAGCCACCAGGTCAGGGAAAAAGCCCCTTCTGAGCTGGGTAGGGTGTCCAGGTCCTGCTGGGACCAGTTTAAGCCTGACCAGACTCTAGGTGGGGCTGAAGAGTTGAAGATCTCTCCTGCACCAAGCCTGGCCTGAAGTTTAGTTGGATTTGAGCACCCAGGAGCATTCTTGCATGGAAAACCCTTGGCTGTGGTGCCTCAGTGCTAGGAGAGGGTCCCTCCTCTCTCCCAGGACCTCCAGGCACCCAGAGGTCCCTGGGGTCCCAAAGTGATCCACAAGGGTCTCCCCACCCCACGGGAAGGCTAACAGGGAGGAAGCTGTGGACATCTCGTGCGGCCGACACGCGAGGGAGGTTTGCAGGGATCCGCATCCCGTGGGCGAGGGTTGAGTCACGTCTGAGGAAGGAGGAGGAAGATGCCAGGAAGCGCAGGATGGAGCCGTTTCAGCCCATCTGAGGCTCAAGCCCCTCTCGAGAGCCCCATCACCCCTCATGTCACCCTCCCAGCGCTGGTGTCACCCATTAACTCGTGCTGTGACAGGAAGGACTCCTTCTTTCCTCCTCCCGTTGCTGTCGAGCTCCCTTTACAGCGTTTGCTATGATTCATGTTTGCTTGTGGCAGCAAATGGCTGTGCACGTGAAATGAAACACAGTCCTTTCCCTCGGGGAGGGAGACAGACAATTCCAGTTAGCTTTTACTTCAGCCCAGCTCATTTTCGGTGGCTGAGATCAACCCAGTTCAGCACAGCAGGTCCTGCCCAGCATGGCTGGGAGCAACTCGAAAATCCTCAAAACTTTGGCAGCCAAATGCTGAGTAACATTTTTTAATGCCTGTTTTGTCTTATCCCCAGCCCGTGCCTGGGGTGCAGGGCTCTGGTGCTCTGCAAATAGGACAATTATGATTAAAGTGGAAGTTTCTAAAGCTGCATTAACCCATTCGGGGGTGGCGTAGACCTCTTTCTTCTCCCTTTTACAACATCTCAGGGTGATGCTAATGCTGATACCTGCCCTGAGAATCACCATGTCCCAGTTTTCGTGCTTTTACCACCAGCAGCCAGGGATGCTGCCACCAGAGCAAATCCCCTGCCCATGCAGGCGTAATTTGTCACAAGTTTTGGAGCAGAGCAGCACCCCGCAATTCCCAGTACGAGCTGGTGGAAAACCAGTG